TGGGATTTGATTAAATTCACATAATATGCTACATTATAAACCATTTTTGCATGCCATGTTGACTGAATTCACACAACAAATTAAGGTAAAAGCAGTAAGTACCAGCCAATTTTGGTTTTTATCTCTCTTCTAATCAGTTGAAGAGATCCTGACAGTGGTGGGATTCAATTTTTTTTACTACTGGTTCTGTGGGCGTGGCTTGGTGGGCGTGGTGTGGCTTGGTGGGCATGGCGTGGCTTGGTGGGCATGGCTGGGGAAGGATACTGTAAAATCTCCATTCCCTCCCCACCCCACTAACCTGCTTTCCAGCTCCGTTCTCCTGTGCAGGGCAACAAATGAAGACCCAACTGATCAGCTGGGACTCAGGAGGCAGAGAATAGATGGGGGCGGGGCCAGTCAGAGGTGGTATTTGCTGGTTCTCTGAACTATTCAAACTTTCAGCAACTGGTTCTCCAGAACTGATCAGAACCTACTGAATACTACCTCTGAATCCTGATCATGGTCCCAAAAGTGGTTCTGGATCATAGTATAGAACCAAGGTTAGTGAATGTGCAGTAATGGTGCCACAATTTTGGAATTCTTTCCAAAGAAAAGTGCTATTACTTTCCACACTAATTTTAAATAACAACTAAACACATACAGTACTTGTTTACTTGGGTGACTTAAATTTTCTTTTATTATTGTATGGTTGGAGTTGCATAATTTTTCTTCTATTCTTTTCTTTTAAAACATTTAATTTATGTCAAAGAACCTTTGTGCTGATTTCTAGGCTGCATTAGAAGGAAAACTGATATGCCAATGAAATTAGTAATAAATAATAAAATCAAGCAAATCACAGTAGCATGTTATGTGATCCCTATTACTGAAATAGCATATGACCATATAAGTAAACACCCCCAAATCTTCTCTGATCATGACTAATAAAAATGAGAATACTTGAAATCACAAATAAATCCCCCCCCTCCAATGCTACTGGTAATGTATAATTAAAGAGAAAACTTTTTGTCACTGGGTTGTATAGTCCAGGCAAATACCAGGATTGATTTTATTGGTAGTCAGTATCAATAAACTTGATCTGAGAACAGATAGCTACTTCTCCATACAGAAAAAATGCATGAAAGCCCCATTTGCAAATCATCCTAGATTCACTGCCAAGAATCTATAGTCACAAAATCTATACTATGTGCACAATAATTAAAAAAACAAGAAACCCCTTGGTATAATAAGAAATATTAGTACTTGGTAAAGATAGTTACTAATAACCCTTCAGTAACATTATAAAAATGGAACAGTTGCCCAGTCCTCAAAAAATAAACATATCCTTCTAGCCCGTCTGCTAGAAGTAAAATAATTTTTAGAACTGGAATTAGACTGATTTTGAATAGCATTATTCAGTCAAAACTTATTATCAAATCCTTAAATAGCCTATGCGTTTTTGTTTTCATTTAATATAGTTTCAGATGTTTCATTTAGCACTATTAGAAATAGCCATACTCTTTGAAACTGTTGGAATAATTGAAAGATTAGACTTTCCAGACTTAAGAAACAAAGGCATGGATTTTAGTTTGAGAACCTAACAAAACATTCTTCCAGGACCATTACCTTTTTTCTGTACGTGTATTATCTTGTTTACCCAATCAGTTTTAGTCCATCTACATTTCATACAGTTCAACTACTAGTACATCACCACTAATCATGAAGACTCTTCAGCCTGTAACTGATACTGAAGATATGATAGTATATCAGAACCATATAAGCTCTGGAAATGGAAACTTGGATTCATGTCTGACTTTAGCCACAGATTTATTTGTTTTTGTAAAATTAGACAAGATACAGTATGTTGCAATGTTTCTCTTTACCTCATCTTAGCAGTTTCTGATTTTTAAGAATTTCTCATTGGATTACTGAAATGGCTCTAGGGTACTGGCATGTAACCTCTCGTGTTACATATACTCAGCGTTAATGCCCCAAGTCAAAAAACAAGCAGAGAAGTAGCTATGTTGGTTTATTGTATTTACATGGTTTCCACTTCCTCACTCATTGATTACCTGCTTAATTCACTGTTCAAGTTTCACATAACTCACTGAATCAAACTCATCATCGGGGCTGGGTTGACAAAACATACTTATCTAGTTTATCATTGAGACATGGACACTGTACTGCTATCCTACTACAGGGACCTTAGGAAGAAGTGCATTTTGAAAAATAGTTTTGGAGAAACAGTGGAGGATGGTGAAACATCTCCCTCCACTGGACCAGGTCACCAGGCTTTAAAGAAAAATATATCCTATGTATTATATAGATTTTGACCTATAGTTTTCATTCCCAATATTATCAGTGGGAATATAAGTATATTTTATAGGAGAATCCCTACAAAATACGATGTATTGAGTATGTCAGTGAGGTAAGCACACTTCTATAGGGTACAAACAATAGGAGCGTTCAAGAATACTAATCAATTAAATTACCAAACCGGTTTGTATCACCCAAAGTTTGTTGAATGACGGTATAGTTCCCATTACTTAATTTATTTTCACTTTCATTTATACCATACTTTCATTTGCCAAGGTTTAGTGTTATTGCTGTAGACTGTGCAGCTGTAGGAAGCTAAATATGAACATGTCTCATTTTAAAATATCTGAGGGAGAAAAAACCATCTTGGCATAGTGTGTCAGGTTTCTGCCCACCTTAGAAGCACATTTAATTTTCTATACTATCTCCATCAAATCTTACTGGGGCCAGATATTCTTAGGAAAAGGTGGTCTTTTCTTTCCTTTCTCCCTTTTTAGTAATTCATTTTGCTGTCAAGAACCACACAATGCTTTAGATTCAATTCCAAAAATATGTTCATGGGGAATTCATGGGGATGAGTAGTGTTTCAGTGTGCAACTTTTAAAGCAGCCGCTCTTTTCCTGGAATCCATGTCAAAATTCAAGTCAACCCTACATAACACAAATTTTAAGGAATAACATTGGAGTGGAATCTTAAATGAACCTACCTCTCTATAAAAGAAGGGACTTTTAGAACTGCCTGCTTTATCTCCTATAAAGTAATGAGAGTCAGTCTTTGAATATCATTTTTTGGGAAATGCTGGAGCAATAGTGTTGTTTTGAAATTTTATCTAGCTTTAGGTCAGGATCTTCAAACTTGACAGCTTTAAGACTTGTGGACTTCAATTTCCAGAATTCCTCCTCCAGTCATGTTAGTTCAGGAATTCTGGGAGTTGAAGTCCACAAGTCTTAGAGCTGTCAAATTTGAAGGCCCTTGCTTTAGAAAGTCCTCTGAAAATCCTCTTCGCTTTGTTTCTAAAACCCTAACCCATAATTGGCATTACTAGAAGAAAGGATATGCCTTATCTGATAGCCATGCAGATATATCCTGTAACAATACCCTGTTTCACAACTTCAGAGTAGTTCTACAATAAAAAAACACTAGAGTTACACAATAAAACAATGAAATCTGCTCACAGTGTAGAAAGGTTTCACGGTGATAATATCATGAACTTTCTCTTCCCAGACATGATAAAAAGTGAAGTAAATAAATACATATAAAGATACCAAATCTTACTAGTTCTGAAAATAAATCCAGATTAATTATAGTTTTAAAAAACTTTTTAAATAGTCTGTTATACTGTAGGTTACAATATGTTATAGAAACCTTATTTTCTTATTTTTTTAATCTAAGTAGTATTATTTTTATCTAAATGGCATAGTGTGTCAAAAGTTATCTATAGAAATCAATGAAGAAACCTACAGATATATTTTAGAAATATTATTTACATGGGGAGTATCCCAAGATAAAATTATTCTCTTCCTGAATATGCCTGTGTGTATTGTTAATGTAGCTAATTGCAACTGTCTTACCAACTTGCCAAAACTATGAGTAACATTTTTTTTCTGGCACAGTCAACAAGGAAAAACAAAGTTTCTCTCACAAATCAGCATCAGGTCATGGTGCTCCAAGACTGAGTTTTGAATGTCTGTCACTCTATCGGTTAAACAACTGCATTTTACAAAGACAAATATGTTATTAATTTCAAAAGATAGCTACCATGTTCATAGTATTAGCTTGTACTATCCAAACATAGATCTAAGCTGATTGTGAATTTATTAAACATTCTAGAAATGTACAACTTTTAAAGAAATGCAACTCTACCTCTTCAAAATTACATGAAGGATAAGTTTAAACACTATTTATTTACATACACCAACACACACACACACATATATATGGGCATAAATTCCATTTAACTCAAACCTTACTTCTGAACACATATGTGCAAGATCGCACACCTAGAAAACACGCACCTCTCTGGAAATATTTATTCCAAAGCAAACATATACAGGACCCAGGCTGCTAAATCACGGGATACTGCTAACCTGCAGCTGTAAATGATCCATGACTAACCTCCTTTTTAGTTTATTTTATTGGTCCCCCCCCCCCCCCCGCATATGACATTGCGGATTAAAATTTACTCAAGATCTTCTGCAAGTTTTCCGCATCTTAACTCATCGGAAAAGAATGCGCTCGATACGTTATCTATTAATCTGGGCGCCTGGCTTTTTAAAGGAATACGCTGCTTTAAAACCAGCCGATTGCTGCGGACACTAGATCCTGGAAGCCCAATCTCTACCAACTTCTAGAATCGCCAGAAGTCCAACAGCGATGCTGTTTGGAACACTCGAAACTCCTTTCGCTTTTTGCAAAGGTTGCGCAATCTCTCTCGCCACCAAAAACGGAGCCAAGTGTCAATGGGCACCGCAGGCGGGTGTTATGTCCGTGTGTGTCAGAAAAAGCCCAGCACCAACGAGGCTGCCCGCTCAGAAGTGACGCTTCTGATGCCCCGAAACTTTTGCCCAGGGTTCCCCAATATATCGCCGTGGCGCGCCGTGACACCGCGCTGGAAAAAGGAAAGTTTTTCCCACCTCCACCCCCCCACCCCCACCCCCTCAGCCCAGGACGGCCAATTAAACCACGGCCTCTCCTTTTCGGGCAGGTACCTCTTCCTCTTGCAAGTTCGGCTCGGCCGGGCTGAGCTCTTGCTCGCTTTTGCCGCTGTTCATTGTCTCCTCCGCCGGCCCGAAATGCCCTCTTCGCCTCGCCTCGCCTCTCCGCGGCGCGTTTAGGCTGAGGGGGTCACAAACGGGGAGGCGCGGCGAGCGAGGCGAGGCGAGGGAGGGGGAAAGCAGCGGGGCTCGAGCCCAGGCTACCACCACCAGCTGCCCTCAGCAGCATGCAGGGGGTTCTGGCGGAATGGCGGCACGGGAGCCCGAGCTTGAGGCGGAGAGCGGCTGGCGGTCGCCGCTGCTGGTTCCCTCTGGAAGAAGGTGGGGGAAGAGTCCCAAGCTTTGCCTTTTGCGCGCCTTTGCTCTTTAGTTGGCGGAGTGGGTGTCTCCCTCGCCTGGCGCTGACTTCTTGGGACGACGCGGGGCGCGGACGAGCGTGGAAAATAAGACTCCCCCCTCTGAAAGCCCCCCGCGGCCGGAGCACGTGAAGCGACCTCGAGGCTGGAGATTTGGCAAAGCAAAGAGGGAGGAGGAAGAGGAGGAGGCGCTTCGAAGGGTGATAACTCTGGAAGCCTCCTGCCTTTGCTGAAGGCTGAGGAGCCTATCAGCTGTCCTGGCTTCTCCTGCCTGCTTCTCTGAGGGCCCCTTTCAGGCTTCAGGCTTTTGGAAGTAGGGGGACAAATTTTGGTTGGATGCCATGATGGCATGCAGGTAGCCCTTGACTTACGACCACATCCGAGCCCCAAATTTCTGTTGCCTTTGTTAAGTGAGTTTGGCCCCCATTTTACACTCTTTCTTTCTTGCCACAGTGGGTTAAAGGGAATTGCTGCCAATTGTTAGGAAAGCCCATTGTGAAATGAATCTGACTTCCCCATTGACTTTGTTGGTCAGAAGGTCACCAAAGGATCACCATAGTGCAACTGTCATAAATGTCAGTCAGCTGCCAAGCATCCGAATTTTGATCATGTGACCATGACAGTGGTCTTAAGTGTGAAAAATGGCTATAGATCGCCTTTTTAAAAAAAACTGCTGTTGTTACTTCAAATGGTCACTGAATGGTTGTAAATTGAGGGCTACCTGTACTCCCACAAAATGGCTGCCTTGGGAGCATGGTCAGTCACAAAACTCCTGCTTCTTGAGAGTCGAGCATGTGATGTTGTTCCCGCTACCCACTCAAGGTTGTTTCCTTCCTGCACTGCTTCCTGTCACCTGGATTACCTCCGTCAACGTTCTTGCAGGTGGACACATTTCTAAATAAAACTGCAGCTGCCCACCCCTTTTAATTTCCAAGAAGGCCTCTGGTGTTTACTTTAACATGCATTTTGATCCATAGTAAAATATTGTGAAGCTGAAGTGCCTGCATTTAAAATAGGTATTCCAATTTACATTTTGAATGTGCATTTCCCTTCTCTCTCCCTCCCTGCCTCCGCTCTCTCTCTCATAAGGTAGCTGAAGATATTAAGATGCAGCTTTCTTTCACACACACTGAATTTACAAACTGCAAGGATTTCAAAGGAGTCGCATGTTCTTTCCGATCAATGAATGAAAAAGTCCCAGAGAAAACTGAAGTAAAATCATAACACAGTTTCCCTTAGTAATTGCTTCACTTTACAATTGAGTTGTTAGACCCAATTATGGTCACTGCACAAGAACCACCTATAGGTTTTTTAAAAAAGAATTTACCAATTCACACTTCTTTCAATCAGTAGTACTTAGGATTGTTCTTCAAGTGACATTGATGACTTTTATACTTTTTCTTAGTGATAAATTAGAACTAATTCTAAAGCTATCATTAATAAAAGAGAAGCTAATTATTTTCAAAATATGTGTCAGAATATGCTAACTTGGTTTAGGTAGTAAATTTAGACCCGAACCTATAATGTCCCGCCACAAGGGAGATTACCCACTGCAGCTCTATACAATTCATGACTCTGCCTTCTAATCAGTTTCTGGGCAATATCACATCAAACATGATGAATAATTCAAAACATTGGCAATGTAGGATTGTAGAACAATTATTCATCCTCAGACATGATCTCCTTTTTGGCTGTTCCTGAGAATAATTTCTTTGGGCATGCCTTTATCCAATCAGTGGATATATTTGGATCAGGAACTTACAGAGAAACATAGGAGGGAGATGCCCTTGAGAAAGAATAAATCATAATCTATACATATTCAAATATACATTCCTCTCCCTGAAGTAAAGTATGACTCCAATTCAGAAAAAAAATGAATAAGATGTGATGTTTAGAAAACAATGATGTAATCATGTTGGTTGGGTTAAGTTCATGACCTTCCCTGTTATTTTTGATTATATTTTCTAAACATTCCAATAAATAAATTGATTCACTTTGCTTAAGTCTTTTGCTCTAGTAGACTTCACGGTGAGGTTCATTAATGTCATGCCTGTCTTTCCACCACTAAAAATAAATCTAGATTATTAGAACGGCTCAGTAATGATTCTTTATTTCTCTGGGACTCTAAAGAACATGCGGTTCCTTTGAAATCCTTGCAGTTTGTAAATTCAGTGTGTGTGAAAGAAAGCTGCATCTTAATTTCTTCAGCTACCTTATGAGAGAGAGCGGAGGCAGGGAGGGAGAAGGGAAATGCACATTCAAAATGTAAATTGGAGTACCTATTTTAAATGCAGGCACTTCAGCTTCACAATATTTTACTATGGATCAAAAGAGTGTTTAAAATAGGCTCTTTTAAAAGTTAAAAGAGATCTAGGAGGTGTGACATTGGACTCCACAACTGGAAGTTCCACTGTTCTTTACTAAAAGCCACCATGAAAGAAGTGGAAATTTCAAAACAATTTTCTATATAGAGGAAGATTTTAGCCCTTTCCCCCTCCAAGCCCCCCCCTTCCTTTAAAACAGTTATTTTTCCCACATGATGAAATATATTCATATGGTTCCCCCCCCCCCCCCCAGTCATGGTTATTATGAAAATGATGTAGACAGGTGGAAGAATTTAAACCAGCTCCAGATTAGAACTCACCCTAGCGGTTTTGCTATTTTCTGCCTAGATATATATCTCCCCTGTATATACATGTACAGAAAAATACTGGCTAAATTTTAGTCCATATTCCTCATTCAAGTGTGATGTATCAGAAGCCAGATAAGTCTTTCTGTTGTCCTCATGTAAGAGGCATTTACTTTGGGTTACACTCCAGAATTCTAGAAATTAGGGGAGGAAATCAATGAAAGTTCCCTCAAAATTCCTTGGCCATGATACAAAAGTGACATTTCAAACAAGATATCACATGCTTAGCAATCATCTCAAGATTGCTAAAAGTACTGGAGATCTTCAAATAAATCAGATCCATATACAGTAAAAATGAATGGCAAATCACTGCACATGTCAAACAGTACTGCAAGGGAAAAGAATGGGAGATACTAACCAGCATTGAATGGTAATCCAGGATCCAATGCTTTAATGACTCCCCCCCGCCCCCCGAACAATAGCAGGATCAGAAAAGAGTCAAGGGGGAACATTAATAAGTGTGGAAAGGGAACTTCACGAAGAAAGTAGTGTCACAAAAACAGGAAAAGCCATAAAACAAACTTACATAGGAAAATGAATCAAATAAAAAGGTATTAAAGAATCCCTATAGACAAAAGCCTAAGTAATTAAGAAAACTAGACAAATAAGAAAAGGAAACAAAAAGATAATTTAGAAAACCCTTACAAACGCAGGACATACCAAATAAGCAAAATAAACAGACAAAAGACACAAAATATAAATTACAAAAGGGACAGACAGGAGATTGCCACAGAACAAATATGAAAAACTATCTTAAAGCTAAAAGAGATTAGAGAAAACCAATAATACAATCTAGCCACCCTGCGGAGTTTGCCTTCTGCACCCCTCAGAGTTTGCCCTCCAGTGGGAATAAAGACAAACTCAAACAAGATTTGAAACATTAAGCACAAATACAAACATTCACACAAAATCAACTTACAAAGGGAGAAAAGGGTATAAAAAACCAGGGACTTACCATAAGAAGCTAGCTAGCCCAGGAACGCAGACTTCTCGCTGTCCCCCACCTTCCTGAAAAATAAAAAGATCCAGCTTTCAAGCAGTTGTCCATATCCTTGTGCCGGAGCTCTCCCAGCAGGAAAATCGAATCCTTGAAAGAAAGGCATTTTGACACCTTTCAACAATTAGCGACCATGAAGGTTTCCCAGCCAACCCTGCCACTAGACTGGGCCCATGGATCCAAACCCAGCCGGCATGGACCTTCTTTGTCCAGGGACAACATCCACGGACCCAGCCCGGAAGGTATAGGGTAGTAAAGGGAGTCCTTGGGCTTTTCCGCTCAACAGCTGCTTGAAAGCAGGTGAGTACCGCTTCAAATTTATAACCTTACTAGTGAGGGGAGTGGAAGTGTGAGTGGACCAGGTGTGTGATTGTGGGTTTTCTCTGTGGAAACAATGGGACCTCACCTCCTCCGTGATTGCCAGCCGCACCCCAGCCAGCTGCTAGCTGAAACACGAGCCGTGACCGGCTGGATTTGGGAACGCAAGGGGTGATCACAGAGTGTGAGTCCTTCTGAAGGACGTAAGAAAAACCGAGCAGGCTGCAAAAGGAACTGGTGTTAGGAGATAAATAAAAAGCAGAGGACAAATAGTCCCGGTGCATCCCGCAAGCAAAGCCCTGTGCATTTAGAACGGGCCCGTACCGGCTGCTTGCAAACAAAATTGGAAATAGTTTGTCTAAAAAAAGCAGAAAAGGTCCTTCCAGATCCTTACCTTTAAGGGAGAGCTGAAAACTGATGGCTGAGTGTAAGGAGGGGCCCGTACTGGAGCTGCTAGGGGGCAGACAGTCCTCCGAGATCCCTGTTTTTTAGGAGGGGGGTCTTAAAACTGATGGCTGAGTTTCCCTAAAAGAAAGGGGCCCGTACTCCATGTGTAGGGAAACCGGAGTCCTTTCCAGACCTTTTTTGTCTGAAAACTGACGGCTGTAGCCCGGCTAAACAAAGCAATCCCCACATCAGGCAGGGAATATGGAATATGGAAAGTTGTAGCTCGAGGGCAATGTAAGAGACCCCCTTGGATAAATTACTTGAGGCTTGGGATGAAAGGCAAGTGCCTGTCCTGACTGGAATGCATAAAAAAGAAGCAAAAAGAATTTGCAAAAAGTGGGCTTTATTGAGAGATGACACGGGTAGACAAATTTGGCCTGATAGCGGTACTTTAGATTATAAAACCCTGAAAGCACTTAGAACACACATTAAACCCAGCCAAATACCCTATTGGTACTGCTAGGCTGAAATGGCTAGGGCCAAAGACCTGACCGAGGGAAAAGATCATGAAAAACCTGAAACCCATTCCCTGGAAGGAAAGACTGAGGCACAGATTATGGCTCCCCTTTTAAGCAAACCAGTGCCAGGCAGAAATAGGGGACAATTAGAATATGTTTTTACTCACACTCCCTTCTCTGCCTCTGATTTGGTCATCTGGAAAAAGGATATCCCAGCTTTCTGGGCTGATCCTCAAACAGT